ACACCCTTCTCAAAAAGTATGTTCTTTTTCTTAGCTAAGTTTCTCTTTCTTTTGCTTGTTCTCTCTTCCATTCTTCATCCAGATATTCGATAATAAGAAGAAAAAAAAACTATGACAATGTGCACTACATAATCATTATAACATTGTAAAAACAAGTCTTGTTTCTGTTTTGATCGCAAATTTTATTTTTTATTGATTGAATATTTTAAATATTTAGTGCCTATATATATTTTTTTCTATGTTTTGATTTCACAGTATTATAATACTGATATAATAGTTATTTGAATACGATAATGAAGTCAAGTTAATGGATTAGTGCCACTTGAATTGTTGTTCAAATATATTACTTCTGATTGTTGTAACTCTACTGATTATTAGTTTATTATCCTTCTTATTCATTGTTATGTCATGGTTTAGAAGTAGTTTCCTTTAGGAATCACCATTTCTTTCTTTTTTACATTCATTTGAAAATTTTTTCCATGTTTGACACTGCGACAAATACGCCGCTTTTATACAGATTATTAAATTATTTTCTTTGATTCGGGAGAAAGTATCAATCTATTGATATTTTCTCACTTTGTTATACTTATCTGCATACATTAAAATAAAATAGAAATAACGAATTTTAATTAATCATAAAATTCTTATAATGATTATTCGAATAAAATCCTGACATAATGTTTTGACAATCGAAGTTTTCTTCTTCGATGCTGTATACAAATTAATAGATTTTTCTATTTACTTACGTGTTTTTCTTTCTTTTGTCCACCATATCATAGCGAGTCTGTGAAAAACAAGAATTTGATCAAACAGCATCGGATGACGTCAGATAATCGTCAACGATGAAATTAGTCATAAAATAAATTCAAAATAAATGAATTTGAACTGTATAATTATTCGCACTTCTTCATTAAATCATTCGTTTCATTTATAGAGCTTTTACTGCAGTACATGAAGACTGAATTACATTTTACTAAAAATGCTACAGAACAAGATATTGAATGCTCATATACATACAGTATTTAATTCTATTTCATTCAATTGAAATAATCTATGTAACACAATATATGAATTTCACAATTATATATTATAAATTATTAATACACAAACAACTTTTTGGATATTTAATGAACTATTTCAAACATATGAGATAAATAAACTAATCTTTACTATTACATGTCATGTATACAAGATGTAAAATCTAAACATTTATTGTAGAAAAAAAAATTCAGAGTTAACAAGCATTGGTAATGAATAAGTCTTGGACAATACGATTTGATTGCAAAAAAAAATACCATTAATATGCTTTCATTATATGAATTTAGTGAAGAACAAACGCAGAATTCCAACGGAAGAAAATAATTATTGAAATGTTTTGAAAGTTTTATTTTTGTGAATAATGAATTGAGTCTAACTCATGAATATCAACAGATTTAGGGGCGATGTTTTAACCATAATCTGGTTCAGCCAAGACTGGCATTGTCTGAAATTTTGGTTGAAATCGGATGAAAACTAAAATAGTTTATTCCTAAGGAGAGCTTCCTTAATATCTCGTGACTGAATCCAGTCGCGAGATATTCTGCCTTACATTTGGCCAAAAAACAAAAAAACCGTGCAGAACTCAGGTATCAATCTGATAGAAACTTTATTTTTACCTCTTAAGTATGCTTTTAAATGCTCTTTAAAATGACTATTTATTTGTTATAATTTCTTAAACGGCTGCAAAAATATATCTATTACAAAAGTTTTGTGAACTTTTTTCATACCTTAGTTCGATTATTAATAGTAATATACAATTTTAATTCTTCAAGATATAATATACGACAAAAAGAGGTCGAATTTGAGCATCATATGTATCACTTAAACAATAAAATATTAGCAAAGAGAAACATTTCAGATTAGGTAGATCATGCCAGAAAAATATAAATCAAAATATTATGATTGATAAAAAAATAAGAAAAAATTTCAGATGAAGAATTCAAGATTGAAAAACAAGCTCTATTTCTATTTAATGCATTTTTTAAATATTTTTTCTACTTTATCATAGAAATACTTTCCTCTAAAATGATGATAGACAATAATTCTATTATATTTCTAAACCTCTAGACTATAAGAAATAATAAATGCTGAAAGAACTCGAAAAGTTTTTCGTCAAGTTTATTATTATATCTATAGTACAAAAATTGTTATTTGTATATGAAACAAGTCATATCATCAGATATCATATAATTATTTTCATTACATAAAATCATCAGAATTAAATCAAGCAAATGTTATTTACATTCAAATCTTCCTTGAACAACTCATTAGTTCATAACAAATAAGTGTGGGTGGGGGTATGAAGAACATCAATACCCATAGCTACACCTACACCCTTACCTTATCATTCTCATGCAACGGCAGATATATTTCTAAAACGAATTTTAAATATTGAATCTCTATAACTTTAAGAAATGAAAAGCTCGACTTCTTCGTAGAGTAGATGTGGACATCTGAGAGTACATATTTCATAACTATTAACTTTTACTCTACTAAAGACATTTATAAGGAAAATCAATTATCTGACGTGATCACATTTTAATAGACATAATGTTTATGTTTGTACAACTATTACAGTTCTAATATCAATTAAACCTACTGAATTCTCATATGAACTAAAGATATCTCAATGATATTTATCAGTCACTTCACATCTACAGAATTTGGCAACTACCTAAACAATACACATTTATATTGGAGAGAGAACAAAGGCAGAGATATCAACGGATAATAGACTGACGGACATTAGATATGCAAGGCAAAGATCAGTCAATAAGATATGAAGTCAATATCGACCGGCAACTGTGAACAAAGAACTTTCTAATTATAAAAATGGATTATCATGTCGCACACTAGCATATCTATACCCAAAAAGAGTTCTATTTCTTCCTTTCTTTTATCATTAATTTTTTGGCAAGTTAAAATATCAATTTCTTTCATCATGGGAGTAATAAAAGTAAGTATTTTCTATGCTAATTTTTTTTCCTTGCTTTTTGAATGTTACCAAATATTTTTCTTCGACCAACTAACCCTAAAAAAAAGGTTATAGATCTATTTGGATGCTAATATATCCATTCATCGGATTCTATGAATCCTTGATATGGTAATGTATGAATTTAGTTTACTTTCTATAGGAGTTACAAGATTCCCATGGCATACGGTACTAGATTTCTCAAACTCTGTTCAGACGGTTATTAGAGTGTTGTTAATTGAAATAGAAAGACCTTATCCTTTGACATTTAATTGACATATATAGGACTGCAGATTTGCTATTCATATTGGAAAGGTTCATGATCATGAATATTATGTGTTTTTGACTTTCTAAAATTTGTATGTATGATTTTTCCACTCTGCCGTAGTCTTTGTTAAAACTCAGCTGTAAAATTCAGCGATAGTCTTCAGTTTTATACTAATGTAAATATTTAATTTATAGTCTCCTAATGTAGATTCAGTCTAAGTCCAAAAATATACTATGTAAAGGATTTGGTATATTTGTTATTAAAGATTCTACAGAAATAATAGTCTGGTCTCAATCGCTATCACTACATCTGTTCTTAGTGTCTAATATCTATGCTTTATACTCCTTATAATTCTATAAAAGCATCCTACAACGTTGCTCATAATTATCAAATCCTAATTCGTGAAGGTTTTTGTTTTCAGAACCAAACAATCGTTAAAGACAGGTCATAATAGTTTTGTGCACTGGGATTCGTGTCGATATTCATTACTTTTACTTATTCTTTAATCTTCACTTTTCTTCAGATATTAATTATTGTTGTTTCTGTTCATATAAATCTTTATTAGTCTTCTACCATTATTCATGATTTATTGAACTTTGATATATTGTTTGATGCCGAAAATCTTAAATTCATTCTTTACTCACGAGTAATAACATTCTTGTCATAAAATTGTTAATTGGCATCGAAAAATTCAATTCTGTACTGGCAATTACAGTACATGAAATTTTCTTTAACATGCTACATAACTGTAAAAAGTGCTAGAAGACAGAAGTTCTTTGCATTACTATCGTTTGATTCCACCTTAGCTTTAAAAGTATTGATCTTTCGTTTTTCTTTGTAAATTACTACGTATTTGTAGATCCTTGTTTTAGTTTGCTAGGAATATGAAAATCACGGTATGAGAATTCATATTTACAATAACAATATAAATTTTTTCATTAAAAAAAATCTAGATCAAAGTTTCAGAAAACATCTTGAATTCTATTCACTATTTCCAAAAAAATCTGTTAAGTATTATATTAAAAAAAACAATCGAATGATTTGTCGAATATCAGTGTGAATTATTTGCATTTTTCATCTTGGTCACTTTTTCATACATCTGTATTTGTAGATTTTACTGATATTTATTCGATCTGTATGATCAGTTATAGTAAATCATTGTTTAACTATCAAAAACTTAAAAGGCATCAAATAGTAAAAGTTTTATTCTTAACAGAGACGTGTCTATATTTCTAATGTCGAGCTTATATAAGAATATTTAAGTTTTATTTAGTTCAATATAGCAATAGTAAATTTAGTATCGAATTTTGTTCTTTTGTTCGCCGCATCGATTATCATTTTATATTGATTAAATAACTTTATGACTTTTCTCTCATATACGACTCAAAGAAAACTTTTAAAGACGTCAAAATTCCTATTAAAACACAAGATGTGTATTGCTTATTGACTGTCATCTAATAATGTTAGCAAACACATTTATGTAACAAAATCTATATGCTACTTTAAGGAATTCGGTAACTTTTTACAGAAACTAAAAGAGGTTCTTCTTCTCGACAACGACTGCTTGATTTAGCTTCTTTTCTAAAAATTCATATAACTTTCGAAAAAATCTTAAATATGTTCAACTTAAGTTAAATTATTAACAGCGATGATATAGCTCAGTCATATAATTAAGCTTATATATAACAATTTTTTCATATTCTATTTACTTCTTTTTAGAAAATGCCACAATGCATTATTCTTCAGCAGCAATTAATGGAACAGATTGCACAACAACAGCAACAGATTATACAGGAACAACAAGAGATTACAGAACAACAACAAGTCACACAAAAACAAAAAGAACAACAAATCACACAACAACAGAAGGAACTGATTGCACTGAAACAGCAGCAAATTATACAGCAACAGGAACGTATTACACAACAACAACAACGAATTTCACAACAACAGAAACAAATTAGACAACAGCAACAAAAACTTGTACGTCAACAACAGCAAATTGCACAGTACCAACAACAACTTGTGCAGCAACAAATTACAGAGGAAAATCAGCATATTGTACAGCAACAACAACAAATTGCACAACGACAAGAACAACTTGCTAAGCAGCAACAAGAGATGGCACAAAAGCAACAAAAATTATCAGAACAACAACGAGAATGTGCACAAAGACAACAACGCATTGTACAAATGCAACAACAACAAATGACCCAAATACTCGATATTGCTAGTTATATGCTTAAAAGAATAAACGATCAAGTACCAAAAACAATTTAAACTGTATATGTTTGAATCTGAATGTATGTCTTTTTTTTCACTTACACTATCATATCTTTGTATTTTGGAATCGATTTTGGTTTGTTGAGTGTAAATATAAATAGAAAAAATACGAAAAATGAACTGAAAATAAGTTTCTAAATTTTTTATCAGAAGCCGAATGGTTTGGTCATCTAGATGAAAGAGTTGATGGATGGTAATGATCATTCAGCTGTGTAATGATGTGATTGTTTCTAATCCAAATTCTTGTTAACATCCATTAACTGAAACATATAACAATTATTTCATTTCAGCATTGAATAAGAAGTAGTTTTCAGAGAACTTATGTTTCAGATAAGTTTATATAAGGTCTTCAAAAGTCTTTTTGTTGATATACTGCGAATCAATATATTTATAATTATCGTCAAAATGATTTTCGAATAAGAATCAGATATGTTAAAGCTTATTATGGTCTCTGAGAAACATATTCTCAAGTAGTTATGAGTTTTGAAAAGCATTTCATAACAAAATAGCATATGCAAAAACGTATCAGACCAATGTTTTATTTTATTGCAGTGTTCATTTTACTATACATTCAAGTTCTCTTTTATTCTATTTAGAACATCTGTCGAACATTATTTGATAATATCACGGGATAACTAGAAAAACTCTGTAATTCATAATAAAAAGTATTCGTTTATATGTCAACTACTAAAATCCGGAATAATTTGTTCCCTAAAAAGAATATGAAAATGCTGAAAATATTCAAAAAAGCTTATTGAAAATAATGAAAAACTAAATATTATTTCATATCTAACAATCTCATAACTTTGACTAATTCTTTTGTCAACTCTGGTAAGATTTTAGAATTTTGTGACTACATACATTATTGAAAAAGCTATCAGCTAACTCATTTAGTAAGAATATCACTGAATTGAAAATATTTTCCACGCTGTAAAACGAATTAATCAATCATATTTCGAACGGTCATTATCAATTCAACAATAAAGATGGTTAAAGAAATTCATAAGAATATTCACATCAATATGGATTTATTTCACAATGATTGACATGTCTGATACTTGAACTGAATATCCAAATAATTTTGATGCACAAGTATTTTCATATATTCTTTATGGATTCTCTTTTTTGTAGTATATTCGTTTACTTTTGGTTGTAATAATTCTGAACATGATGAAGAAGGATATTTCATTGACGATTTTCTCTTATTGAATTTAGATGATGTTAATCTCTCATGTTCGATAAGATACTTGATAGTCAAGTTCTAGATCTTTATTCGCAAAAAAAGTTCAAAAGAAATTGATCGATCATTACTATTGTCAGGTTTGTTTGATTTCGTGAACTTTGCCGACTTGTTTCATCAATATTGATATTCATGAAAACGTTAAATCTCTAAAGAAAATATCATGTGAGTTTGAATGTTTGCAGATATTATTTCTAGTATTAGGGCTATACATTCATATTCAAATTTGTATTAGTCTAATTAATTCCATACTTATCGTTTTATTTCTATTTTGACGCTCATGCATTATATTTAGTTGATTGGAACTTTTCGGTCGATATCTGATGCCATGGTTGTATTTTTCAAGGGTTCTATAAATACTATATAAAACGTCTTTGAAATCTATTGTATAAATTTCTGTCTGTGAAATAACTTTATTAACAGCCTTCTATAATTCAAAATGATTCAAAATAAACATGTTTTTCTGAAAAACAAAGTGAAAATCCCGCCACTATTGAAAAACAGTCATATTTAACATTATTGTAGACGTTCGATAAGCAAGGAGTGCCAAATCTCAAATTATTACCAATTTTGAAATCTGCATGTCAATATTTCGAAATTTCAAAATTCTTTAATTTTCAAATTTTCAATTTTTGAAAGTATGGCTAATTGTGAAAAAGACTGGAATATGACATATGAGATATTTACTCACATCATACATTTTTGAAATCGTCAGACAAGCAGATATCAGATATTTACTCACACTATAAATTTCTGAGCAACTACCAGAAGAGCAGATATTAGATATTTGGGTGTGTGAATGTGGGTGTGGGCGGTGTGTGTTAACAGAAGAAGTGCACCCACATCCACACCCACACTCCACACTCCACACTCACACCCTCGCAGCTGCTGTGGGTGCCGCGAAAGGACTGGCCACAAAAGGAGTGGCCTCGAATGGGCTTGTCATACTACGACACACATCACATTGTAGCTGCTGTGGGTACCGCGAAGGGACTCATCGCGGAATGTATAGTGTAAGTAAATATCTGATATCTGCTTTTCTGAAGATTTGAAAAATGTATTGTGTGAGTAAATATCTGATATCTGCTTTTCTGGTAATTTTAAAACTGTACGGCATGAGTAAATATCTGATATCTGCTCTCCTGGTAGTCGCTTAGAAATGTATGGTGTAAGTAAATATCTGATATCTGCTTTGCTGAAGATTTCAAAAATCTATGGTATGAGTAAATATCTGATATCTGCTTTTCTGGTAGTTTTAAAACTGTACGGTGTGAATAAATATCTGATATCTGCTTTCTGCTTTCTGCTTTCTGCTGACGATTCTGTATTCTGTATAGGAGTAAATATCTGATATCTTGACCAAAATCAGATATCAGCAATCAGAGATTTAGTGAAAATTGGTAATAATTTGAGATTTGGCACGACCTCGGTGTGAGTGTGGAGTATGGGTGGGTGTGGGTGTGGGTGGGTGTGAGTGTGGCTGTGGCTGTGGGTGGGTGTGAGTGTGACTGTGGCTGTGGGTATGAGTGTGGGTGTCGATGACAAGATAATTCACACCCACACCCGCACCCACACCCAGACCCACACCCACCGCACACTCACACCCACACCCACACCCACGCCCACACCCACACCCACGCCCACACCCACACCCACTCCCACACCCACACCCACCCACACCCACACCCACACCCACACCCACACCCACCCACACCCACACCCTTTCAGTACCTCAGATATATTGACGTATTACCGTCAGTAGCTGTTAAACTTTTCGGTTCGAGCTTTAAACGGTTACAAAGATCCTTTCTATGAGAGTCCAAATTTTTTGACAAAAAAAAAGAACACTTATCTATCGATCAAGAAACATATTTTGCAATATATTTTTTTCATTATATTTTTTGCAACCACCTTTTTAATTAAAAACTTATCTCGGTATTGAATCCGCTTATAGTCCTTTTATTAGTACAGACAGCTTAGAGACATCAACAATATATAGTGTCAATGGAATTGAACCAATTCTGACAATTTTAATAGATTTCAAAAACGCTGAACCCTTCTCACACAAGACATTATGATATTCTACTCTCGAAAAAAAGATATACCATCAGATATTATAGTGCGCACTACATTGATCAGTTAATTGATAGTATTGTCTAGTTCGAATCACATGAGAACAATATGTCGAAAATAAGACTTCCATTTAAGTGTTTAGACTATTTATCATTGTTTGATTTGACATGTTTGACTTTGAACATTGATCACCTCCCACTTGCAAAGTATTTTGAAGAGATGCTCTTAAATGTGATTCAGATACTAGTTAATGATTAACATCTCAGAGTGAACAATTTCAATAAGTCTTATCAATAGCTCTAGTTTATAAATAAATTAGTATCAAGTTGAAGACTTCCTGCTCATAAATCAGTTTTATAGGCTACAATATTTGTAAGAAAAAGATTGTTTTATGCATTTGTGTTATACGATCGTTCAACGAAATATATATTTCAGTTTCAAAAAATGCGTCTATCATTCATGATAACCGCAAAGACGATTTCGTAATTTGTATACCAGTCGAACGAAAATTGGAACAACAAAACGAAGTCCAAGTAAAAGTCCATTGATAACAGTCAAGAAAATTGTGACTGCATAAAGAACATCCAAACGTTTTTCATACAAATAAGTACAATGTGTTGGTGCACATGCATTATAATATCGTTCATAAGATATTTCACTTGACCAATAATCAATAAACAACCGGTAGACCAGTGTTTCGATTGTGTCATTGATTCTAAAGTTCGAAGTTGATGAGGAGAATTGTAGTGGTGAAATATGGATTATTTCAGGTAGCCATTCGGAACTTGGAATTCCAAGACCCGTTGCTGCCATGAGATCAATCATACATGAAATTGAAAAAAAGCAAGAGAGTGATGAATGAAGAATTGATTCAATTAAAAAACATCCAATGAAAATATTTTCAATAGTGTAAACTGTGTGATGAGTGTAATTGTAGAAACTTGCCAATTCTGCACAAGTACTTGAAGTTGCACATGAACAAGTTTCATTATTGTAAGTTTTTGGTATAACAAATAAAGGAGCATTGGCAGTAATTTTATCTACCTTAAACTCCACACTAGTTCCCAAACTCGATATTAAACCGTTCCCTCGAGTAGCGTCACGAAACATTTGCAGTTGACGAGAAAATAATATCAAAGTTGACTTTTGAAATAAATTGATTGTTGCATCCACCTGTGTTTTAAATAGAACCGCAGACATGACTTCAGATGACACAAATGATACTAAATTAAACTGTTCAATGGCATTATTTACGGTTGAGTTTGCTAGTTCACAATATTTTTCCAGAAAATTAAAGAAGAGGATAGACCAATTGCGAAAATCATCTTCTAGAAGCCACCATGCGAGAGCAGTTTGATATCTATAAAAATATGTAAACCATTTATTTAGGAAATTATTACTGAAGCAAATTGGATGGTATGTTGCACTGAGAAACATAATAAATTCATTGTTAGTTATAGACATATGGGCACAAGGACAATGTAATGTGTCAGAATAATGTTCTTGAAGATTTATATAAGTTGGCATTGAAGGAGTTGAAACAATGTTGCTAATAGTTCGCTCGACTAATCCAGTATAGAGAAAGAGGACAATTGTGAAATTGATCGCCAAAACAAGATAGAGACGTGTTGACACAATTTCTTGTCGTTGAGTATCATTTGTACTAGACTCATTTTGAAAAAGA